TGATAGATAGTGATAGGATGGATGGATGGATGGATGGATGGATGGATGGATGGATAGATAGATAGATAGATAGATAGATAGATAGATAGATAGCTGATGGATGGATAGCAGATAGCTGACGGATGGAGGTAGGTAGGTAGGTAGGTAGGTAGGTAGATAGATAGATAGATAGATAGATAGATAGATAGATAGATAGATAGATAGATAGATAGATAGATAGATAGATAGATAGATAGATAGATAGATAGATAGATAGATAGATAGGCAGGCAGGCAGGCAGGCAGGCAGGCAGACAGACAGACAGACAGACAGACAGACAGGGATGGATGGATGGATGGATGGATGGATGGATGGATGGATGGATGGACAGCTGATAGATAGTGATAGGATGGATAGATAGATAGATAGATAGATAGATAGATAGATAGATAGATAGATAGATAGATAGATAGATAGGTGGTAGGTAAGTAGGTAGACAGAAAGACAGAGAGACAGACAAACAGATAGTGATGGATGGATGGATAGATGGATGGATGGACAGCTGATAGATAAGTGATAGGATGGATAGATGATAGATAGATAGATAGATAGATAGATAGATAGATAGATAGATAGATAGATAGATAATGATAGATTTATCTTTTCTGAAAAAAAATTATTAAAGAAATTTTAAGAGAATTCAAACAATACAAGTTTTGAAAAGAATAAAGAAAAGCAACAAGAAAGGGGAGAAAAGGATGCAAAGGAAGAGAGAGAAAAGGAAAATTAGAAAAGTTATAAAGAAGCAGCTTCTGATCTTCTTAACAGTAACTACAAGTACATTTATATTTTACCTTCTCTAGGGTTACATCATAATTTCCTTCTTTCCATAATCTACCCTTTCTATCACCAAACTCATAAATCACATTTTTTTTCTTTTTTTCAGTAAAAAGTCCATAAGGGGTTTCCAGTCAGGAAATTGTACTCTTATTCAGTTTCGAGAGTTTCCATTATGCATTGAAATGAGGAGGATTGAAAGTGCGTGTGGAACGCATTTTCATCTATACATCTCCCAGAGCACTTTAGTGATTGAAAAATGGGCCAATTACCTAACTTGGCCACGGAAGAAGCAAATAAAACACTAACAGAGAAGGAGGGAGAGGAAAAAAAAAAACCTAGAGATCAAACTGAGAGCTTAGCAAAAAGTTGTAGCAAGACAATAGGAAATAAAATGGAGCAATTATTTTTAAGCGCTGCGAACAAACCAGAGTCAGGAACCTGAGACGGGTGGCCATATAGATTGGAATTATAAATACAAATATTTGGATGCAAGGAATGTTCAATTCGGTCTTTAGCATTTCTAGCAGAGAAGGCCCTCTCAATTCCTGGCAAATAGATGGGGAAGAAATGGAGATAGTGACAAATTTTATCTTCCTGGGCTCCAAGATCACCGCAGATGGGGACTGCAGCCAAGAAATTAAAAGACGCTGGCTCCTGGGGAGGAAAGCTATGGCAAATCTAGACAGCATACTAAAAAGCAGAGACATCACCCTGCCAACAAAAGTGTGTATAGTCAAGGCCATGGTTTTCCCAGTTGCAATGTATGGCTGTGAAAGTTGGACCATAAGAAAGGCTGAGCGCCAAAGAATGGAGGCCTTTGAACTCTGGTGCTGGAGAAGACTCCTGCGAGTTCCCTGGACTGCAAGGCGATCAAACCGGTCAGTCCTAGAAGAGATCAACCCCGACTGCTCTTTAGAAGGCCAGATCCTGAAGTTGAAACTCAAGTACTTTGGCCACCTAATGAGAAGGAAGGACTCACTGGAGAAGAGCCTGATGCTGGGAAAGATGGAGGGCAAGAGAAGAAGGGGACGACAGAGAATGAGGTGGCTGGATGGAGTCACTGAAGCAGTAGGCGTGAGCTTAAATGGACTCCAGAAGATGGTAGAGGACAGGAAGGCCTGGAGGAATGTTGACCATGGGGTTGCGATGGGTCGGACATGGGGAATGGGGAAGCCCGGTTTCTGCTGGCATACCCAGGAAAACTGCTAGTGTCAGTGGATTGAGTCCATAGCTCGTTACTCGGCTGCTTAGGCCTTCTGGAAAGGCCTGACTGCAAAATGCAGGCCTGAATGCAGCTGCAGAACTTCGGCCCCAGAAGAAGTGGACCGGCTGGGTGAGGCTGTCGGTGCCGGAGGTGAGGTAAGGCCTACCCCGAAAATAAGACCTGGTGCTTCTTTTGGAGGCAAATATCCAGCAACGTAGCCTAAACAAAACTTCTAGGAACGCAGCTTAGGGCTTGGGTTCGGGGAACCAAATATTAATTATTTAAAATTAAGTGTGAATTATTTATTTTTGCCATCTCTCTTTGCAAGTCAAAAGAAATTGAGCAGGCCTGTCCGAGCAGGAATCCAGCATGAATGCTTTCCTCTGTCCAATGTTATTAGCCCTGTCCATGGTCCTGAATCCACATTGGCAGGCTTCACTCCTGATCACAACTACGGGTATGCTTTCCCAGCCATCTTTACCTGAATCCATTTGCAAAGCCAGTTCAAACCCTCTGTCTTTGTCTTCAACAAACAGACATGGAGATCTGGGAGTGGACAATCATTTAAACAGGAGCCAGCCGTGTGCTGCAGCTGCCAAAAAGCCCGATGCAGTGCTAGGCTGCATTAACAGAGGGATAGAATCAAGATCATAAGAAGATGATTAGGGGACTGGAGGTTATAACATATACGGAACGGTTGCCGGAATTGGGTACGTCTAGTTTAATGAAGAGAAGGATGAGGGGGGACACGATAGCAGTGTTCCAATATCTCAGGGGCTGCCCCAAAGAAGAGGGAGTCAAGCTCTTCTCCAAAGCGCCTGAAGGCAGGACAAGAAGCAACGGGTGGAAACTAATCAAGGAGAGAAGCAACCTGGAACTAAGGAGGAATTTCCTGACAATTAGAACAATTAACCAGTGGAACAACCTGCCTCCAGAAGCAGTGAATGCTCCAACACTGGAAGTGTTTAAGAAGAGACTGGACAGCCATTTGTCTGAAATGGTATCGTTTCCTGCCTGAGCAGGGGGTTGGACTAGATGACCTCCAAGGTCCCTTCCAACATTATATTATTATTATTATTATTATTATTATTATTATTATTATTATTATTATTATTATTATTATTATTATTATTATTATTATTATTATTATTATTATCACTTTATAATGCCTTGGTGAGGCCAGAGTTGGAATACTGCATCCAGTTTTTGTCGCCACGATATAAAAAAAATGTTGAGACTCTGGAAAGAGTGCAGAGAAGAGCAACAAAGATGATCAGGGGACTGGAGGTTAAAACATACGAAGAACGGTTGCAGGAATTAGGTATGTCTAGTAGTTTAATGAAAAGAAGGATTAGGGCCGGGGTGACAGGATAGCAGTCTTGCAATATTGCCCCAAAGAAGAGGGGATCAACCTATTCTCCAAAGCACCTGAAGGCAGGACAAGAAGCAATAAATAGAAACTAACCAAGGAGAGAAGCAACCTGGAACTAAGGAGAAATTTCCCAATCGTGAGAACAATTAACCAGTGGAACGACTTGCCTCCAGACGTTGCGGGTGCTCCATCACTGGAGGATTTTAAGAAGAGACTGGACAGTCACTTGTCTGAAATGTTATATGGTCTCCTGCTTGAGCAGGGGGTTGGGCTAGAACAGGGGTAGGCAACCTCAGCTCTTTTATGACTCGTGGACTTCAACTCCCAGAATTCCTGAGTCAGACTCAGGAATTCTGGGAGTTGAAGTCCATGAGTCATAAAAGAGCTGAGGTTGCCTACCCCTGGACCAGTAGAAGTGCCTTCTAACTCTGTTATTATGCTATTCCGTTAAGAAATTATGCACCGCAGGGAAATGTATTTAAGTATTTTCAGCTCCGATATGTTTCTTTAAACTGTAAACTTGGGAAGAGGCTGAACCAGTGTCTGTTAACCTTGGCTACTTTAAGATGTCTGGAATGCAACTTCCAGAATTGGCTGGCTGGGGAATTCTGGGAGCTCAAAAACGTAAATCTTAAAAGTGGTTGAAAAGACTGGTTTGGACATAGAGCTTGAGTATAGAGTCCAACTTTTTCTAATTGCCCCACTGGGTCCGGATTCCATTCTTCCTTTAAACTGGATTAGGAATTTTGCCCAGGAAAATAAACTTTACCCCCTGTCCTCGTCGCTCTTTCCCAACATATGTAAATTTTGTGCTTCTTATTTTCCCGATTCTCCTCTTCATTCAACCTGAGCATCACTTTGAAGTAGGAAACTATTAATAGCATTATTATTCGGCTTTTCAAAGGGGGAGCTGCACACTCCTGTCATTGGCCCTGACAGCATTGGCAAACACAATTTTAATTAGATCTTTATCCTGCCTTTATTACTTTATCAGTAACTCAAGGTGGCGAACATACTAATATTCCTTCTTCCCCCTATTTTCCCCGCAATAACAACCCTGTGAGGTAGGCTAGGCTGAGAGAGAGAGAGAGAGACTGGCCCAAAGTCACCCAGCCAGTTTTGATTCCTAAGGTGGAACTAGAACTCACTGTCTCCTGGTGATTATCCCAAAATCACTCAGCTTGCTTCCAGACTTAAGGTGGGATTAGAATCACCACCTCCTGATGATTATCTCAAAGTCACCCAGCTGGCTTCTGGACCTAAGGCGGGACTAGAACTCACCGTCTCCTGGTGATTGGCCCAAAGTCACCCAGCTGGCTTCTAGACCTAAGATGGGACTAGAACTCACCACCTCCTGGTGCTTATCTCAAAGTCACCCAGCTGGCTTCTGGACCTAAGGCGGGACTAGAACTCACCGTCTCCTGGTGATTGGCCCAAAGTCACCCAGCTGGCTTCTAGACCTAAGATGGGACTAGAACTCACCACCTCCTGGTGCTTATCTCAAAGTCACCCAGCTGGCTTCTAGACCTAAGGCAGAACTCACCGTATCCTGGTGATTGGCCCAAAGTCACCCAGCTGGCTTCTAGATCTAAGATTGGACTAGAACTCACCGTCTCCTGGTGATTGGCCCAAAGTCACCCAGCTGGCTTTTATGCCTAAGGCAAGTCTAGAATTCACACTCTCCTGGTTTCTAGGTCAGCCCCTTCCCTACTAGACCAAACATGGCTCTAGAACCAGTTCTGGCTAAAAATCCTTCTTTCCCCATAAGCCCCTTCTCTTACTCATATCGAAAAGATCTTTGGGAGGACTCTCCTCCGGTTTCCCAGCATTGGCCTCCCAGCTGTTGAAGTTTTCCGTGTTGACATACATGTGCTGTTCATAATCCTGGGAGCCCAGAGGTTTGCTGTCTGCCTGAACGTAGCCATCGCAACACTGGCCTGAAAGACAGAACGGCACCATTATTTCCATCATTTTAATTACATTCTGTTTCTCTCACTTACACTCTTGAATTCCTTCGGTCCCATTTCCCAAATCAGTCTGCGTCTTCCAACATTTCCCCCCCCCCAAAAAAAAATACATTTACATTTGTCATACATTTTCTGGCTTTATGATATACAGTACATATTTTTGGAAGTTCTTCCCCATAGAGTTCTGCTTCCTACCATTTTTTTTCCATCTATGTATTTTTGAACAGAAGGAGGGAGCATCACAAAATTCCCCCCCAAAAATTGCCAAATAGGGAAAGCTTCAGTCCCGATCTTGATTTGAGAATTTATTCTGAATTAATTAAGTTTGTAGGAACTAAATTGCATTCCCCCCACCCCCGCTTCTTTATTTCCATCCATTTCAGAAGTTTGGACTCGAAGGGCTGCTTTTACATCCAAAAAGCACTACTTGAGAGAAAGCCAGCTTGCAACAGCTGGCAAACAAATGCAAAACCAGAACTAAAAAAAAATATCTGTAAATTCATTTCTGCTCCTGAAGCTCAGAGCATAATTGCCGTTTTTTTTAAAAGCCAAAACTGCACCGCTAATAGGCAAGAATGTGGGAGGGAGGTGAGGAATAAAGAAAAGCTCGACAGTTGGAGAAGAAAAGAATTAAAAATGGAGGGAAGGAGCCGTAAGCATCCATCCCCACCAACCATGGCCGAGAAATTCCAAAGGTGCTTTTCCCAAAGGCGTCTGGACGTTATTTGTTTTGGCTTGAAGACGTTTCACTTCGTATCCAAGAAGCTTCTTCGGTTCTGACTGAATGGTGATGAACGGAAGGATTTCGTGCCCCAAAGAAGAGGCAGTCAAGCTCTTCTCCAAAGCGCCTGAAGGCAGGACAAGAAGCAACGGATGGAAACTAATCAAGGAGAGAAGCAACCTAGAACTAAGGAGAAACTTCCTGACAGTGAGAACAATTAACCAGTGGAACAACCTGCCTCCAGAAGTGGTGAATGCTCCAACACTGGAAGTTTTTAAGAAGAGACTGGACAGCCATTTGTCCGAAATGTTGTAGGGTTTCCTGCCTGAGCAGGGGGTTGGACTAGATGACCACCAAGGTCCCTTCCAACAACAACAACAACATCATCATCATCATCATCATCATCATCATCATCATCATCATTATTATTATTATATTCTTTGCAGTGATCTGATCATTAGCACTCTCTCTGAGAGTCATTGAGGCCACTTGGAGGTTTATCTGTGCCCTCGGGGAACTGCTGAAAGGCCAGTCCTCAGAGAGAGTGCTAATGACTAGATGACTCCAAGGAATATAAATCCTTCCATTCTCCCCCATTCAGTCAGAACTGAAGAAGCTTCTGGGATGAGAAGAGAAATGTTTTGAAGGAAAAGCAAAGAAAGTCCAGTTGCCTTTGGAAAAAGCACCTTTGGGACAACCATGACCTGGATGATTGAGAATCTCCATAGCCCAGGGGTAGGCAACCTTGGCTCTTTTATGACGCCTGGACTTCAACTCCCAGAATTCCTGAGCCAGCCATGCTGAGGGGAAAAGGAGAAGTTTCCAAGCTGAGCCATGCTGGCTCAGGAATTCTGGGAGTTGAAGTCCACGAGTCATAAAAGAGCCAAGGTTGCCTACCCCGTCATAGCCACATAGGTGAGAAAGACAAAAGTAAAGGACCAGGCTGATGGAAAACCAAAGAGGAACATTTGACACACCGCAACGTTTTATTGCAGCTTTTCCCAAACTGCTCTCCTCCGTATGTCTTGGAGTGGCAACGTGCAACCTATTGAGAAGGGTGCCTATAGAAACTAAATAAATAAATATAAATCCAGAGTTTTCTACAGCCAGTTGTGACACTAGATGGGGAAGAAGATTTGTTGAGAATTGAGACGATAAATCACTTTCAAGTGCAGCTTGGTTTGGGCTGATTTTGTAGAGGCGTATCCCAAACTTGGCCATTTTAAGACGTGTGGACTTCAACTCCCAGAATACACCCAGCTAACAATGCTAGCTGTTGTATTCTGGGAGTTGAAGTCCACACACCTTAAAATGGCTACGGTTGCTCTAGGGCAGTGGTGGCGAACCTATGGCACGTGTGCCAGAGGCGGCACTCAGAGCCCTCTCTGTGGGCACGTGCGCCATGCCCCGGAGATGGCAACTGTCCCTCTTCAACCAGCCGCCTGCTAACTCACCAAAGTCCCACGTGGATGGATGCATCCCAGCATGGCTGGTTTCCCACCCATCCCATCCCATCCGTCCTGGCCTCGCATGCTCTCCTTTTCCCGGGCACGACCCACTGCATCGCCTCCTCAGCTGTCGGCCGTCTGTCCAGTTCAGAGGCGGCTTTTCTGAACTGCTGGTGGCGGGCTGCGGAGCCCCAGAGTGTGCCGGTTGAGGGGCTGGCAGGCTGTGGCTGCTGACGGACACTGTTGGCCCCCATGCGCTCGCTGGCCTCTGTGTGCAGGGGCCAATGGTGTCAGGCAGCGGCCGCCCCGGCCCCTGTCTCACCTTGCCCTGCGACAATGGCACCCCAGCCCTGCCTCGCCTTGCCTCACCTCACCCTGCAGGACGAGCCTCCTGCCCACTGCCCCACCTGCCAGAGACCCCCTGGATCTCCCCGAACCCTGCCCGGCCCCCACAGGCATCCCTCCCCATGAGCAACATCGAGGTGACCATGCCCACCTTGGCCACACCCACCCAGTCTGCCATGACCCCCACAGCCACGCCCACCCAGTGGGCCACGCCCACCTGGCACCCGGTGATAAATAAGTCGGTTTTGGGTTGCAGTTTGGGCACTCGGTCTCTAAAAGGTTCGCCATCGCTGCTCTAGGGTCTGCCTCCAACCCAGCACCTTGACAAAACCTGATTTATTTATTTATTTATTTACAATCTTTGCCTAATTCACATGGTGCCTAGCTTCATAAATAGAGTGGAGCATGGTAGCTCACAGGATAAATATAGTAGTTACCAGTAAGATCAGCATCCCAGTTCAGGTTTGAGTGGCTACTGGGCTCCCTTCTGGCTGAAGATCCGACCTGTCGGTTGAAAAGAAATGGAGTTATATTGGCTCACAGGAGCAAGGATGCTTTTTCATAAGACCATCTACATCAGGGGTGTCAAACTGTCAGCCCGCGGGCCGGAGGCATCACGCGGAAACTGTAACCCCCCCCCAGCTCCGGCAAGGGGAAAAAAGTTGCGACATGTCACGTGACGTAACGAGTTTGACACCCCTGACCTACGTGATTAACATGAAGATAAGAGAAAGACATATTTGGGGAAAACCTATGGAACTCACTGCCACAAGATGAGAGTCAGCCAATAGCTTCGACGTGATGCGCCCGCTCAAGATAGTTAAGCAGAATACATGGAACATTATCCAAACGTGATTTATGAACTAGCCCAGGGGTAGGTAACCTTGGCTCTTTTATGACTCGTGGACTTCAACTCCCAGAATTCCTAAGCCAGCCATGCTGAGGGGAAAGGGAGATGTTTCTAAGCTGAGCCATGCTGGCTCAGGAATTCTGGGAGTTGAAGTCCACGAGTCACAAAAGAGCCAAGGTTGCCTATCCTTGAACTAGCCCTTCCACACAGAGCATCATATTTTCCCTTTATAGGCTGTATGGGTAGTTCTCATTTAGCCACTTCAACGTTGTCATTAACTGAAGCGGTCTCTAACTGAAACCATGGCTTGGCGTATGATCTGACTTCCGCTTTCTTTTGCTTTATAGACCCGTAAACCCCCACCCACTGCAAAAGTCCATCTTTTATGTCATCTCTGACCGATGGCCATGCAGCCTCTGTTTCAGAGTTCTCAACTTAGGCAACCTGAAAGATGGATGGACTTCAACTCCCAGAATTCCCCAGCCAGCACCGTTCTGAGGTAAATCCAGAAGACTGGTAATGATTACATAAGTGGAAGTCAGTTGTCCTGAAAAATATCATTAGATACAGAGGTGGTCCTCAACTTACAATCATTCAGTTAGTGACTGTTTAAAGTTACAACAGCACTGAAAAAGCGACTTATAGCTGTCCGTACGTATAGTCAAGGCCATGGTTTTCCCAGTTGCAATGTATGGCTGTGAAAGTTGGACCATAAGAAAGGCCAAGCGCCAAAGAATTGAGGCCTTTGAACTATGGTGCTGGAGAAGACTCCTGCGAGTTCCCTGGACTGCAAGGCGATCCAACTGGTCAGTCCTAGAGGAGATCAACCCTGACTGCTCTTTAGAAGGCCAGATCCTGAAGTTGAAACTCAAGTACTTTGGCCACCTAATGAGAAGGAAGGACTCACTGGAGAAGAGCCTAATGCTGGGAAAGACTGAGGGCAAGAGAAGAAGGGGACGACAGAGAAGGAGGTGGCTGGATGGAGTCACTGAAGCAGGAGGCGTGAGCTTAAATGGACTCCAGAAGATGGTAGAGGACAGGAAGGTCTGGAGGAACGTTGTCCATGGGGTCGCGATGGGTCGGACACGACTTTGCAACTAACAACAACAACAGCTGTCCTCACGTTTATTTGTTGTGGCATCATCCCACAGTAACATGATCAAAATTCAGGCACCTGGCAACTGGCATGTATTTTTCACGGCTGCCGTGTCCCAAGGGGGTCACGTGATCCCCTTTTGTGACCTTCTGATAAGCAAAGTCAATGGGGAAGCCGGATTCACTTAACAACCGTGTGACTAATTTAACAATTTCAGTGATTCGCTTAACAGCAGGGTCACGTGATCGCCATTGGCCACCTTCCCAGATGGCTTCCGACAAGCAAAGTCAATGGGGGAAGCTGGATTCACTTCACAATCGCATGATTCGCTTAACAACTGCAGTGATTCGCTTAACAACTGTGGCAAAAAAGGTTGGACAACCAGGCATGACTCACCTAACCACCACCTTGCTTAAAAAAAATTATGGTCCCAATTGTAGTCATAAGTCGAGGACTAATCTACAAGCTGAGTTGGTCACGGAAAAGTACGGAGAAATTTCATCGTCTCTTCACATCTATGAGATGTTTTGATCATTACGACAATGTGAAAGTTTTTTTTACATCTTGTTCCTGTGCCTCTCTCTCCCCTAGCCTGCTGCTAATAAAATACAGAATATCAGAAATGGAAGGGATGATGGAGGTCATCTAGTCCAACCCCCTGCTTAGGCAGCAAATCCTATACCAGTGATGGTGAACCTTTTAGACACCGAGTGCCCAAACTGCAACCCAAAACTTACTTATGTATCATCAGGTGCCAGGTGGGCATGGCCCATTGGGTGGGTGTGGCCCATTGGTTGGGCATGGCCCATTGGGTGGGCGTGGCCCATTGGTTGGGCATGGCCCATTGGGTGGGCGTGGCCCATTGGGTGGGCATGGCTGCGGTGGTAATGGCAAACTGGTGGGACTAAAAAGTTCAATCAATCAATTCCAACTTTGCGAGATCTTTTTTTCCCCACGAGAAGTTGAAATTGATTGATTGATTGATTGAACCTTTTTTTTTGCACACGGCGGCGGAGGCCTAAAGGGAAAAGGTTTTATAAAACCCAGCTGAAGGCCTAGGACTGGGGTGACGGCGCACATGCCCACAGAGAGGAGTCTGCGTGCCACATGTGGCATGCGTGCCATAGGTTCGCCACCACGGTCCTATACCATTTCAGACAAATGGTTGTCCAATCTCTTTTTAAAATGATGGAGCACCCACAACTTTTGGAGGCAGATTGTTCCACTGATTAATTATTCTCACTGTAAGGAAGTTTCTCCTTAGTTCTAGGTTGCTTCTCTCCTTGATTAGTTTCCATCCATTGTTTCTTGTCCTGCCTTCTGGTGCTTTGGAGAATAGTTTGATCCCCCCTCCTCTTTGTGACAGCCCCTCAAAGACTTGAAGACTGCTATTATATCACCCCTAGTCCTTATTTTCTCTAGACTAGACGTTCCCAATTCCTGCAACTGTTCTTCATATGATTTAGTCTGTGATTAGGAAATTAAGGAGCTGCGTCTTTCTTTCACTCCTGTGTTTCTCGGTCTCCACTGTGTCATTTACATCAAACTTTCCTGCACTATGTATTTCTCAATAAGTCTATCTTTCGCTCCAGATATAATTAACATCTGTTTGCATCCACCAACACAGCTGGGTTAAGCCTCTTCTTGGCATTCAAACGAGGCTATCCGCATTTATCTTTTGGAATTGGCTCTGCCGCTGAATTGCTCATGTTTCTTTAATGCTCTGCGCGTTCTCAGGAGCCCATCCCCTAGCAGAGGNCAGAAGGAAATTGTTCTTGGCCAGACTCTGCCAATTTGGGGGTCCCCTGTAGGGCTGGACCGTTGCCTGGGAGTGATGAAAGTTGTAGTTCCCCTGCAGACATGGCATTCTTTCAAGACAAGGAATTCTAATTGGCAATTCCATTCTGAATGTCATTCTCCTATCATGATAGTTTTATTTTGCCGCTCAGAGAAAAAAATTAATCCTTTGTCGTTGGATTTTTTTTCTGCAGAAGAAAAAGATTTAAATTAAAAACACACACACTGTCAAGGTTCTATAGGAAACACCCTAATAAACCGAGAGGCAATCCCTAACATGTGCTTTTGTTTACATTACAGGATCTGTCCTTTTTCTAAGGGGGGGGGCGGATGTCAACGCTGCTAACATCCGATGTTTTTGCTTGGACAACAGTTAGAGGTGCAACCATTTTCTTCTGATGTTTTGCTTTTAGAGCTAGATGATGCTGGGGGGGAGGAATGTGCATGAGAGTTTAGATAGCCATAATAATACTGGACCTAGTGTGTGAACCAAGGTTAACGAAATAAGAGATGATAAGAATTGGTGGGCTGGAGAACTGGAGGGAAAGCCTACATTTCAAACTAATTGGAGAATGTGATTTATGACTGTTAATTGGAGGAAGGAACTGTGCTTTGATACTATACTTTGGTACTATATCAACAACCTAAGATACGCAGATGATACCACTCTAATGGCAGAAAGTGAAGAGGAACTAAAGAGACTCTTGATGCGGGTGAAGAAGGAGAGTGCAAAAGTGGGCTTGAAATTCAACATTAAGAAAACAAAAATCATGGCATCCGGCCCTCTCAATTCCTGGCAAATAGATGGGGAAGAAATGGAGGTAGTGACAGATTTTATCTTCCTGGGTTCCAAGATAACCTCAGATGGGGACTGCAGCCAAGAAATGAAAAGACGCTTGCTCCTGGGGAGGAAAGCTATGGCAAATCTAGACAGCATACTAAAAAGCAGAGACGTCACCCTGCCAACAAAAGTGCATATAGTCAAGGCCATGGTTTTCCCAGTTGCAATGTATGGCTGTGAAAGTTGGACCACAAGAAAGGCTGAGCGACAAAGAATTGAGGCCTTTGAACTATGGTGCTGGAGAAGACTCCTGCGAGTCCCTTGGACTGCAAGGCGTTCAAACCAGTCAGTCCTAGAGGAGATCAACCCCAACTGCTCTTTAGAAGGCCAGATCCTGAAGTTGAAACTCAAGTCCTTTGGCCACCTAATGAGAAGGAAGGACTCACTGGAGAAGAGCCTAATGCTGGGAAAGATGGAGGGCAAGAGAAGAAGGGGACGACAGAGAATGAGGTGGCTGGATGGAATCACTGAAGCAGTAGGCGTGAGCTTAAAGGGACTCCAGAAGATGGTAGAGGACAGGAAGGCCTGGAGGAACATTGTCCATGGGGTCGCGATGGGTCAGACACGACTTTGCAATTAACAACAACAACAACTATGTGCTCAGAGGAGGGGAATCCAGTTTTTGGCTTTGATTGTGTTAGTGCCGATGCTATGCTACTCAAATAAAGATTCTTTAAGGTAAACAATGCCTCAAAGTTCTTTGAAGAGTTTCATCTGTGGGAACCATGACTCACACATCCAATGTCTGATTAATTGGTGGGGTGGGGGGGGCAGTATCTTTGGATTGCAGAAAAGGAGATTTTAAAACAACCAATTTCCTAAATTATAGGTAGTCCTCGCCTTAAAACAGTTCCTTTAATGACCGTTCAAAGTTACAGTGGCACTGAAAAAAGGGACTTACGGCCATTTTTCACACTTATGACTGTTGCAGCATCCCCAGGGTCACACAATCAAAATTCACATGCTTGGCAACTGGTTCATATTTGTAATGGTTGCAGTGTTCATGGGTCATGTGATCCCCTTTTGCTATCTTCGGACAAAGTCCATGGGGAAACCTAATTCAATTTACAACCATGTTACTAACTGCAATGATTCACTTAACAACTTGTGGCAAGAAAAGTTGTAAAATGAAGCAAAACTCACTTAACAACTGTCTTGCTTAGCAACAGAAATTTTGGGCTCAATTTTGGACAGACGTCAAGGACTACCTGTAGTCCTTTGTCGTAGATTTTTTTTTCTGCAGGAGAAAAAGATTTAAATAAAAAAATACACACATCCAATGTGTGGTTAACAAAAGGGGGCGGCCCCTTTTTCATTGCAGAAAGGGAGATTTTAAAAACAACCAATTTCCTTAATTATGTGGACCATTCGCCATGTTCTGGCATCAGTTCTTCTTTCACCAGAGGAAAGATTTGGTGGGGGTGGGGCGGGAAGAGATCACGGTTAAGGAACAAGCGATGATGCCCTTTAGTTGAGCTAAACAGGCTTGGATACACCAGCTGAACCTGCCAAGGATTTCAGGGTCACCTGGCTGAGATGAGTCGCGTAGGAACCCAGCGAGAGCGTGTGGCTGGAACCCGATCCGTAATGGAGACGAGAATCCACCAGACCTCCAAGGGGGGGCTGCTTCCCGGGGATGCTGTTGTAGTAGTTGTGTCCTGAGGGGTCTTCCTCTTCACACCAAGAATCCTCCACTCCCATTGTCCTGATTAGAAAGACAAAAGGGGACAAGGCCAACGCTATATAAATTGAGTGAATGAATGAATGAATGAATCAATCAATCAATCAATCAAAATCAATCAAACATCACAAACGAGGGGAGAATGTCACATATTTAAGAAACATGGACACCTGTAATGTATGTGTGTATGTGTGGGGGAGAGAGAGGGAGGATCTGTATGTGTGTTTGAGAGAGAGAGAGAGAGAGAGACAGAGACAGAGACAGAAAGAGTGTGAGAGTGTGTGAGAGACACCTGTGTGTGTTTCTGAGAGAATCAATGTGTTTGTGAGTGTGTGTGTGTGAGAGAGAGAGAGAGAGAGAGAAAGTGTGAGAGAGACACCTGTGGGTGTTTGTGAATCTATGTGTTTGTGAGTCTGTGTGTGTGCGTCTGTGTGTGTGACAGAGAGAGTCTCTGTGTGTGAGAGAGAGTGTGTTTGTGTTGGTGAGAGTCTGTGTGTGTGTGTTTGCGAGAGAGTCTGTGTGAGAGAGTCTGTGTGTTTGTGAGAGTCTGTGTGGGTGAGAGTGTATGTTTGTGAGAGAATATGTGTATGTGTGAGAGAGAGACTGAGTGTGTGTGAGTCTGTATGTGTGTGAGAGAGAGTCTGTGTGAGAGACAGTCTGTGTATTTGTGTGAGAGAGTATGTGTGTTTGAGACGGAGACTGTGCATGTGTGTGAATCTGTGTGTGTGTGTGTGCATGTGTGTGTGTCAGAGGCAGTATGTGTGTGTGAGAGGAGTGTGTGTGTGTGTGTTTGTGAGAGTCTGTGTGTATGTGTGTACAAAAAAATCAAGGTGGATGCTGCAATTGAATGATCAAAACTTCACTCCATTTATACATTGGGAGGGGCTTCAATTTCAGGTGTCATCTTTTTTTTATTAGAACTGGTCCAGCTCCTCCCTCACTACACCTAATTGGCTCTTGGGCTGGGAGGGAGGGGCTGGCCCAGTGTCAGCCAGTGGCTGAAGGAGGACTAGATCCTGGGTCTCCCAATCTGCCCTTTCCCCACCACACCTGATTGGCTGTTGGATTGAGAGGGAGGGACAGGCTCACATTCAGCCAATAAGCATCTGTGGCTGAGGAAAGACTTGAACAGGGGTAGGCAACCTTGGCTCTTTTATGACTCGTGGACTTCAACTCCCAGAATTCCTGAGCCAGCATGGCTCAGCTTGGAAACCTCTCCCTTTCCCCTCAGCATGGCTGGCTCAGGAATTCTGGGAATTGAAGTCCACGAGTCATAAAAGAGCCTCGGTTGCCTACCCCTGGACTAGAACTTGGTCTCCCCACTCCTAGTCTAGCCCCTGTCCACCAAACACAATTGGTTCTTGGGCTGAGAGGGAGGGAATGGCTCACATTCAGCCAATGAGCTTCTGTAGCTGAGCGGGATCTAGAATCCAGATTTCCCTGTCCTCAGACCAGCCCCTTCTCCACTAGAATACACCTGATTGGGTCTTGGAATAAGAGGGAGGGACTGGCCCAGAGTCAGCCAATCAGCTTCTTTGCCCTGGGGGGGGGAACAGAGAGGGCAGTCTAGAACCTGCAAGTCCAAATGCACAGATCTCAGCAGGATGCCCATGGGGAAACTGAGGCTACAATCCCGTACCTCTCATGTGGTGCTACAGTTTGGGGAGGGCTGTGCAGGTACTGCTTAAAGCGGAGCTCAAAGGCCTGACCGACAGTGTTGATGATGCTCTGCGCCAATCCGTCACAGCATTCCAAGATGTGGCAGGCTGCCAGAGAGAAAGAGAAGACCCACAGCCAGAAGTTAAACATTTTCCCCCAAAAAACAGGTGTGGGAAGTCAGCCCCCCCCCAGAGAAGGAAATATTAAAAGGGCAGAAAAATATATTTCCTCAAAGGATCTTAAAGAGGCAGAAAAGCATGCCCAGTTTTTTCTTAATATCCCCAAGTCTCCCTCCCCCAAGCAGAAACCAGCTCTGTAGAAATGCAGATGTAAACCATTCAGGAAGGTTGAAGCTAGAAGATTAAGAAGACAAAGACACCTAGAATCTACATACCCCACCCAAACTCTAAGACAAGACATAATAGGATCAACCCACAGATGCCAAAGGGACACAGGTCAAAATACATGGCACAGGAAATACAAAGCCTCAAACAGGAACAGGAAACAACCTCAAGAGCCCCAGAAGGTATAAAAACCCACTCCCTACATGTGCTCTCTCTCTCTCTTTCCTTCCAGAGCCATCTTTCTGTCTGGCTCTCTTCAATAAACTGCAACCTTCTTTCTAAAGCAGTCGCCATGTTGTTTATTCCCGGCTTGGACTGAACCATGATGAAGACTTTTCCTTCAACACAGGTACACAACAAGACACAAACAGGATCCCGCAGCGTGATGCAGCTGCAGAAACAGCCAATGCACTCTTAGGCTGTGTTAACAGAGCCAAAGCGCCTGGTCAACACAGCCTAGTACTCCTCGACTTATGAGCACGATTGAGCCCAAAACCTCCCTTGCTAAGCGAGACAGTGGTGAAATGAATTCTCCCCCATTTTACGACCTGTCTTGCCACCGTTGTTAAGTGAAGCACTGCAGTCGCTAAGTTAGGAACGCGGTTGTTAAGTGAATCTTGCTTCCCCATTGACTTTGCTTGTCAGAAGGTCGCAAAAGGGGATCACATGACCTCCTGGGACACTGCCACTGTCATAAGTTGGAGTCAAGCTTCTGAATTTTGATCACACGTCTGCGGAGATGCTGCAACGGTCACAAGTGTGAAAAACGGTCCTAAGTCACTTTTTTTCAGTGCCGCTGTAAATTCGAACGGTCACTAAATGAACTGTTGTAAGTCGAGGATTACCAGTAGGACATGTTTGGACAAGTGAAAGTGAAAGTAAAAGTAAAAGTAAAAATGACGGGTGGGGGGGGGAATGAAAGAATAGAAGTAAGTTTTCCACTTGGATAACATTCATTTCAAAAGTTACATTCTTTTCCCTGGTACTTTCATTACAGCCATTCACTGACCTACCGTGCAGGTAGTCCTCACTTAATGACCAGTTGTTTCGCAACCATTCAAAATTTTGATGGACCCCAACAAAAGTCCTTTCAATCCAATTTCGAAGTTCTGATGGTCACATCTTTTCCCAAAGTCATGTGATTGCATTTTGGGCCCTTGTCAGCCAGCTCCCATTTGCGGCTGTCTGCACATCCTGCTGTCATATTGCTGCGATTTGCGGCAGATTTGAATGGTTGCTAAGGAATTGGTCATTAAATGAGAACTATCTGTATGTTATGTCAGTGAATGGTTATAATGAACCACACACACACACACACACATACACACACACACGGTCATTTTCACTTTACTTCTTTACTACTAGTTTCCATCAAAAAATGTCCGAAGACAATAGAATAGAATAGAATAGAATGGAATGGAATAGAATAGAATAGAATAGAATAGAATAGAATAGAATAGAATAGAATAGAATAGAATAAACACAGATAAAACATAGCATAATTTTTTTAATAACATCTTTTGCAAATTTTTGTACCGTGCTTAAGCTTTTAAAAAGCGGCATGCCATTTCTCTAATCACACTCACCTCGCTGGTTGATGGGATCCTTGGCAACGTAAGCGACATAATCGGTTATATCCTGGCCAGACATATAATTCAGAAAAAAAGAGAGTTAAGTTTGAGGCCGCTGAGGCTAAGAAGCAGGACTTACAGACAGAAGAGGAATTAAGAGGAATAAATTTAGCCTGAATAGGTTACGGCCATGTTCAGTAGCATTCCACAATCTCCAAATGTGCTGTTCCAATAATCCCCTGCCACGGGATTCAATGTGATTTTTTTTTCTAATTTAACATCATTAGAATGCAGAGGTGGGCCAAGGATGGGAAAGAGATCAACCCTGTACCAGTTTAGCCGAATAAGAGGGAAATTTTATTTACGGAGGATGGGGGTGACTTCTGTGCTAAGCAGTTGCGTTGGCCAGAATTCCTCCTGACCACCTTTCTAAGTTTGTTTTTAAACTTCATTTTTACATTCCACGATCAGAAAAAATATGTTCCCCATGGTGAGAGTTGATCAGTTGTGAATAGACTGGACCTTTTCTTCAGAGGTCGGATTTAAAGGAAATTGGGAAGACCCCTGGGGGAGATATGGTAATGGTGGGTTCCTACCCTGGGTGAAGGGTTGGACTAGATGACCTCTAGGACCCTTTCCAACTTTTTCATTGAAGGATTCTATAAAAGAATAAATTAGCCAAGGTTATGGTTTATTAACCTTGTTTAGCATGCTGTGGGAATGCATCTGCTAGCTAGAAGATCTTTCGCTGACCTGGTTAAAAATGGACTGGAATAATGTGCCTCAATCCTTCATGACAATCCTTTCTCAAGCTTGGCAGCTTGAAGACTTGGGGACTTCATCTCCCAGAATTCCCTAGCCAGCTATGTTGGCTGGGGAATTCTGGGAGTTGAAGTCCACAGGCCTTCAAACCCACAAGGTTGAGAAAAGCTGTTCCATGAAATAAAGCAATACAGTACAGAAAACTGTAACTCTTTAGTGCCATCTACCGGGTGCCTGAATGTTTGCAACCCAAATAGGACAATGTATACACTTCACAATGAAGAATGTCCATAGGGTTGGGGGCAAAAAAGTCAAGATGGCTGCTCTGATTGCCACCATCTTGTGTTTTTTTTTTTGCCCATCTCTGCTAGGGTTCCCTCATGACAGGCACACCAAACCTTTCTTTTCCCCCTTTATTTAAATATTTATATATTTTCTCCTTTATTCAGACTTTTCCTGACAGACCCAGGAGCAAAATCTTAGCTTCAGCCCCATTTCTGTACTGTCTTCTGACTACACTCTGTTTCTGAGTCTCTTTTTCCTTCATTGTTTTTTGTTTGTTGAAGCTCAGTAGGCAGGACTGTGTGAGGAACTCCCCAAAATACTGAATTAACTTTTGGGGTTATGTTTTAACCAAGGATGCCCGCAGCTGGGTTAAAAAAAGTCAAAAGGCTGATAAAAGTTGGCTTTTTTAATTTGTCTTTTTTTGTGCATTTTATATTCTTTCTAACTTTTAAAGTTTTTTACTCCTTTTTAAAAATAAAAGCTTAAAAAGCTTTTAAAGGGGGTGGGCCTTCAATCCCACTGGCAGAGCTGAGCTGCCATTTTGACTTCTTTGACCTCCCATGCGGCTGCCTTTGATTTGAACAGGTTATTTTTATTGCCTTGAATGAAAATAACATCCCATATTGACCTTGGTCCAGGCCATAACATGGGGAGGAGGGAATACCATATTTAGAATTTTTTATGGGAAGATGTCAGAATTCAAACAGAGGAATCAGGGAGGGCTCAAAGAAGTCAAAATGGTGGCTATGACAATGCAATCAAAACCTGCTTTTGCTCGAGACATGCATGCACAACACATGTAAAAATGGCATAAGGCAGGGGTGTCAAACTGCCGGCCCGCAGGCCAGACACGTCACGAGGAAATCGCGCCCATCCCATTGCCGGCGGATACGTCGCGCAACATCACATGATGTCGCGAGTTTGACATGTCTGGCATAAGGCTTCTGTCATGTCTGCAAGAAGCCATCTTGATTTTTTGACTCCTTCCTTCTATATCAAGGTTTCCCAACCTTGGACACTTTAGAACGTATGGACTCAACTCCCAGAATTCTCATAAATGGCTTCTCTGACTGTGGAATTCTGGGATTTGAAGTTTACACCTCTGGAAGTGAATTGGGTTAAGAAACACCACCCTATGAGGACATTCCTGCACACAAACCCTGGAAAGCTCTGACATCAATACAGTTTGGGATTCTGGGAAAATAAAATGACCGTCAATGACAGCTAACGAAATCTGCTCGGGAGTGCCGAAAACAAACTTTAGAAAAAAGAGAGAAATAGATAAAATGAATGTAATGTAATGAGGCAGCTCGACAGGATGGCAATGAATAATATGGTAAATGCATCTTCTCTATCATTGTTATGTGTAAAATAACACTTGACCCAAATGTTGCCGGGTGTCAATCCTTCCTTTCTGCTTTAATCTCTGCCCATATTTGCAGATATTTCAACCTGGATGTGCTAAAGCAGTGGTTCTCAACCTTTTTAATGCCGCGACCCCAACCGGTCGTAAGTCGAGGACTAAACCGGTTGTAGGTTGAGGACTAAACCGGTCGTAAGTCGAGGACTAAACCGGTCGTAAGTTGAGGAATTTCCCTGCCCGGGAGCGCCGCGCATGCGTGGTTCCGCCCCCTGCACCGGCCAAGGCGTAGCTGGCAAGCGGCAGAGACGGAGCAGGCCGACCACCAGCTGGCCCAGCCCAAGGGAGGTAAGGCACCCGCTGGAAAAGGGGGAAAAAATGGCGGACAAAAAAAATGGCGGACAGCCTTGCTTGGCGACCCCCGTGAAATGGTCGATCGACCCCAAATGGGGTCCCGACCCACAGGTTGAGAACCACTGTGCTAAAGACTCCAGATTTCAGCAATCTGAGTGCTCTCCAGATAACTGGACTTCAACTTCCAGAATGCATTGTAACTGTCTGGCTAGCTGCAAATTGGAATTTCCAGCTAACCGGGCTGTTACAATGCATTCTGGGAGTTAAAGTCCATATATCTTAAAGTGGCCTATTTTGAAAAACACTGGTTTAGAATCCTCAAATCCAGAGCAGTTCTTGACAGCTTTGCAGAAGTAATTTACCACTGTTTTCTCTTGTCTAAGATTGCGGTCTCTTGTCCAGTACTAATCAGGGCCAACCCTTCATAGCCTTGCAACCTCAAACAAGAACTCCCAGCCAGAAAAGTCATGTGAGCTGGGAGTTCTTGTCTGAGGTTGCAAGCTATGAAGGGTTGGCCCTGATTAGTACTGGAAAAGAGACCACCAGGAAATCTTAGACGAGAGAAAACAGTGGTAAACCACTTCTGTAAAGCTGCCAAGAACTGCTCTGGATTTGAGGATTCTAAACCAGTGTTTTTTCAAAGTAGGC